TAGGGTTGCCATGAATCACAACTGACTCCATGATAGTGAGTTTGGCTTTGTTTGTTTTTTAGCACCCCTGGTGGTGTAGTGGGGTATGATTTGTCTGTTAACCACAAGTCAGCAGTTCAAACCCACCAGCAGCTCCTTGGGATAAAGATGAGGTTTTCTACTTTTGTAAAGTTTTACAAACTCACAAACCCAAGGAGCCTATACAATCACTATGCATCAGAACTGATTCAGTGGCCCTGAGTGTGGAATATGGAGGCGGGCTGAACCAGGCTTCCAGTGGCACAAATGGTTAACATACTGCGCTGCTGACTAGAAGGTTAGACTTTTGACTCCACCTACAGTTGGGTCAGGAGCAAGGCCTGGCTCTCACTTGCAAGAAAATCAGCAACTGAAACCCCTAGGAAGTACAGTTCCACTCAGTCACACCGGTGGCTGGAAATCAAGGTCAACTCAACACCAACTGGGGAGGAGTTCGAATGAGGAGTTCTTAAATATGTGCCTGGATCTCTGCTGGGTATTCAGACCACCTGAGGGGTGGAGGAGGATGTGCACTGTTGCTGATACCCCTGAGGGGTTCGGTGCAGCTGGTCTGTGGACTACGGTAAGGAACTGGAAGCTTGACTTTCCATTGTTAGAACAGACGGCAAGGAAACCTGGGAGATGTAGTTTGCAGAATTCTGGTTCCAGTGCCGCAGAGCAATCTGGTATAGGTGATGGGATTAGAGGTATTCTACAGCCCCTGGCTGCATTCCGACTTCAGGGACCCAATAGGACAGAATAGAACCATCCCAAAGGGTTTCTGAGGCTGTCGTCTGTACAGAATCAGGCTGCCTCGTGTTTTTTTTCTGAAAAGCAGCCGGTGGGTTTGAACCACCAACCTTTTGTTTCGCAGTCACGTGCTGAGCCATTGTGTTACCATGGCCCTGGTGGAACAAGGCGCTTTAACCCTTAATTAAGTTTTAGAATGAATATGTGGTCTTGGCTGCCGTGGGATCATCTCACTTGAATAAACATGATCTTAGAATATTTAAAAGCATGTATTATTTACTCCCATAAAGAGTTCCTGTTTCAGAAACTCACAGGGGCTGTTCTGTCCTGTCCTATAGGGTTCCCATGAGTTGACACCAAGTCAATAGTAACGAGTTTGAGTTTAAGATGAAAGTGTGTGTGTGTGTGTGTGTGTGTGTGTGTGTGTGTGTGTGTGTGTGTGAAGGCCTGGCAGCGCTGTTGGGTAAGCATTGGCTCGCTAACCACAAAGTCTGTGGTTCTACCCCCACCAGCCACTCCAGTGGAGAACGATTAGATTTATAGTGCCGGAAACCCAATAGAGGGTTTCCATGAGTCAGAACTGCCTCCATGACAGTGGGGTATTTTTAGATAATATGGCTCCAATGCTCAAACCAACGACTTCAGCTGGTGTGTCTTTCTACGCTCGAGCGCGGAGGACGGTCTGGAAGGAGCTTGCTTGGAGGTAGAGCGCAGTCGTATGTGCAGATGCAAGAAGACAGTCCCTGAGTGGTGGACACTGCTGGCCCTGAACTGATTGAACACAGCCAGACACGTGCCACAGTGATCCCTGCTCTCCGCAGACACTGGAAGGCTGAGAGAGCAATAACGCGATGACGCGGGTTTCTGTTCGGTTGGCTTTTTAATGCTGAAATTCATGAAGAGCATTAAGGAAAAAAAGTTTCCCTTAAAAGTACAAGATCATATGTAAACACAGTATTAGTGTAGCAGATTTACATGACAGAGTGGATTCCTATAATAGAGATTTATCAAAATATGAAAGTCCCCCTTCTTCTTACCCCCAAATCCTATCCTCCTCCCGAAGCTGGGCACTGGTAACTGTTCAGTACATCATCATCCAGTCTCTCAGGAGTAATTTTCACTCCAGATGAGCTTTGTATACCAGCTGTAGATCATGCTACCTTCACTTCCACATGCTAGATTGTGCCTTTTCTCTAAGCCCAAACCAAACCATCTAACTCACTTAGTTCATATTGCCAAACAGCCTTCAAGAATTTTAAATGGAATCCTTCATATGATGTAAAATACAGTTGCCTCCTCATTCTTTGAAATAAAAATGAAAGAAAATTAAGTTATTTGAGATTGTACTCCTGAGATTTACTCACTTATTACCTTTACCACTTGTCCAAGTGTACAACGATATCTGTTATCTTTGAAATTATGTAAAAAAACAAGCCTACCTGCAAGTAGTGTGGACTGTACGCCAATTGAATGGACCGGTTTTCAGCACTGCAAACCAGATGAATTGCTAGTGCGTTTTGGAAGAGAGCTTTGACTCAAAGGAAATCACAATTGGTTTGCTTAAAGCGGTAAAAGAAAGCTGAATCCATTTGGGTTTGTTTGTTTGTTTGTTTTTCCATTTGGGTTTTGTAAAGGTAACTGTGATGCTCTTAAATTAGCATCAGTGCATAGATGGGGGATAATTACCTCGAGTGAAAACTAATGAGCGTACAGAGATGATTTTAGTGGATTCCAAAAGGAAGAAAAATTGCAGTCATGTTTTCCAAATAATTGACAGATAACAAAATCTCCTAAATAAAATCTAGATTAAAGAGCAGATTCGACATTATTATGGAACAATTCTGAATCCTATATTCTTTCATAATGAAGCAAGAAATATTCATTTAAACATTCAATTCATAAAGCTAAGAAAGGGATAACAAAAGGAAGGAATTACTAGTGAGTCAAGTAGAAACAAAAGCGTTATAAAGCAAAATCGAACAATAGCAGCAACTGCAATAGGCTGGACTAGAGCCCAGGTTAAGCATCGGGTTGCTAACAGCAAGGTCTGTGCGGTTCAAAGCCACCAGTTGCTTCGCAGGAGGAAGATGAGGCTCTGGTAAAGATTCACAGTCTCAGACAGCCTAAGGAGCAGTGCTCAACTCTGCCCTACAGAGTCCCTCTGAGTCAGAATCCACCCGGTGGCAGTGGTTTAGAGTGGATTTAAAGTAGGTTTGAACTAGAATGGATTGTGATTGCCTAATTCATCTTCAAGGCAATTTAACCGTGGGGAGAAAGGTGTTCTAAAATTGAGGTGGGGTGATTGTTCAATTCTCCTTGATATGATTGAATGATTGAACTATGGAATTACATAGTATGTAAATTACTTGCCGATAAAACTGTTGAAAAAAATAAATAAAGTAAGCCTGCCCTTTATAAGGAACGTGAAAATTACCACCATCCGTGTTGCTTAAATAAATTGTCAATAAAAGGAATATTTATATAGCCAAAAAAGGATTGAAGTGGAGCTATTGGACTTAGAAACATGATAAGATGTCCACAGGTCAGCAGCACTACTGAATAAAGCAAGTTACTGACCAAAAAAATCGAGACACTACACGGAAACTGGTCAGAGCCGGAGCTTCACGGGACAACCTTGTTTTTCCAGGTCTTGTAAGATATCCGTCTTTGACAGACTATAGCCTTACCACTTTTTGCTGCTTATTTTAGTGGGAAATATTTGTGTCTTCCTTCTCTGACAGGTATTCACATGAAAAAGGTTACAGTGTTCACAAGTTTGACCGTACTTAAAAATCTCATTTGTTTAAATTGAGTAGTACGTGTGTGCATCTCCCCCAAACCAAACTCCCTGCCCTCAAGTTGATTTCAGCAAATAGCAGCCCTACAGCAGGTTCTGAGACTTTGAATCCTGCTAAGAGCAGACAGCCTCAGCTTTCTCTCAAGGAGCAGTTGGAGACTTTGAACTGTCAGCCTTGCGCTTAGCAGCCCCACCTGACCCATAGCACCGCAAGGGCTCTCGATCTATCTAGATATTTATTTGTTATGAATGCTATGGCGTTAGCTCCAACTTCTGATTTCAGTGTGCCGAGCAAAACTTCATTCCCGAGGGGTTCAAAGCTGTGACCTCTCAGAAAGCAGGTTGCTAGGTTTTCCTCCCAAGCTCTCTCTGGGTGTGTTGGAACCACGAGCCTCTCAGTAAGCAGTCCAGCACCGAACCATTGAGGCCACCCAGGTCTAGATGATACCGAAACCAGCAGTTCCCGAGAATCATTCCATCCTTGGATGCATATTGACCCTGCTCTCTTTCTCCGAGTCTATGTATGTATATTCAAAGGCATTTAGAAGGACTTTCAAAAGTTCATGAAAAACGAAATTAAATGATGACGGATTTTTTAGGAAGTTTTTTTTAGTTCCCTCAAATATACATGGGGTTCAAACACACATCAAATGACTGTTTCTTAAGGGAGTTTGCTTTCTACATTTGATATTTCTGTATTTTAATTTCATATAGCTGACATTGAATTACTTTGAAATTTGGGTGGGGGGAAAGGCAGATACATAGAAAATAAAGGAATAAATCGATTTTTTTCTGAGTGTTCCTAAAATTTGGGTTGGGTTTAATCTGTTCTATGAACTGCCAATTAGATATGAACATATTTTCTATTTGCAAAGTATTCATAAATTATGAAGTGATATTCGAAACAAATTCCTTAGTACACAGGAGCGAAAATGAAGACAAGCTATAATAGTTATGCGAATAAGATCAATGCTTAGACCTCCCAAAGGAAAATTGACATAACAGGTGCAATTCTAACTATGCTGTTTTTTCCTTCCTCCGTTCATGCTTTGTACTCTACGAATTCAAGTCTTCCTGTAGCCTGTTTCCATGTAGTGTCCCCTTCTCATGCCATGGCCCCCTGTCAGTTAGTGTCCCTTCCTGCACAGTGCTCACCGGCAAGTTCGTGCTCACCAATCTGCACAGGAGTACAAGACATTTATCAAGCACGTTGTGAGTCGACAAAATTACATGTCTCTGAGATCAGCCAAGGCAAACAGCATGGTGGTGACTTCCAAAGGGGGTAACAGAACTCATCAAATACAAAATCCTTAAACAGAAAGCTAGAATCCGCAAAGTATCCCGGGGATCTTGCTGAGGTTTCTGCGGCGTGGGACTTGCTTTCAAGCAAGGTGAGTAACATGGAGCATCTCTATTGATTTGACTCTTTCTTCAGGTCGATGATACTGAAGAGCCTGACAAAGCAGGGGAGAATAAGGTGCCCAGTAAGTTCCAGTCCATAGGAGTGCAAGTAGAAGAGGAAAAGTGGTGAGTCCACCTGCATTCGTCCTTGTGAGTCCCCGTGTGTGGCCAGGGTTTCTCCCCATGGTAAAACCTACATGTTTCAGCGATGTTTTCCACTCATTAACTTCGAGGAGTGTTTAGAGGGGAAGTGTGACTCAACATTAACTAATTCTCTCCTACATTTCAGTGGTGGGAGGACTATATTTTAGTCAATGCCTTTACTGTAGTGCTGGAGTTGACTCTTTATGGAAAAAGGACTTACCTTATGATTATTTCTAGCACTTTATGAGTCTGGTGTTTGGTTTGTGCCCAATGAATAGTGAATGAATGTAGAGGAAGAAAAACAGAGAAGACCCCTGCCCTCACCATTCCTATCATTAGCCTTTAAAATAAGCTCACTCTAGAATCTTAGTTTGTAGCAGTGGGAAATGTAAGCTTTCATAAGCTCACAGCATCTGGCAGCTAGAAGGGACCTTTTAGGTCAATACTTTGATTTTATAAAGAAGAGCTTGATTCAGACAGATATGTAAGTTTGTGTTCATCTGGGTAGACTAGAGAAACAAATTCATAAACACGCATATGTGTATAAGGGACAGGTTTATATACAAGAGCAATTGAACATTGAGAGAACATCCCAGCCCAGTCCGGATCAAGTCCATAAGTCTAATATTAGCCCATATGTTCCATACCAATCTATAAAGTCCTCTTCAGACTCACGAAACACATGCAATGATGCCAAATGCAGGACGATCACAGGCCAGTGGGTAGAAAGTCTTTTGGATCTAGTGGCATTGTAAGCATCTCAGTGCTAGCAGGGGTCTCTACGTGGCTTCTCCGGCTTCAGAGGGCTTGTCAGCTGCAATGTCTCCCAGGGAGTAGCAGAGAGCGAGAAGTGTCTCCCGCCTCCAAGGAGGAAGTACCAGATTTCCCAGAATTCTCAGGAGAAGGCCAGGCCCACACCAAAGTCTCATTGGCTATCACAAGATTGACAGCCTAGACTCCACCCCTACACTCTTAATCCTTAAATTGACACCAGATTAGGTGACTACCACAAAGTTTCTCAATCCAATGATGGTTTATTTGATAGATGTAAGTATGATTTCCTGATAGCAGTACCTCTAGCTCCCGGCACTGTGCTTTGTACATACAAACTGTACAGGGTTCTGTTGATGAAATGAAGTCAAACTGGAGTTATGATAGGAGAAAGAGTGCTAGATGATAAATTGGCATATCATTCAGCTTTGCCACTAACATTGTGTGTTGACCAGGATGTTTGGATGTTCACTCATTCCTTTACTACCATTGACCCATTCAGTTAGCATCTATATTCTATGGAATGAATTCTACATGCACAGCTACTTAGTTTGTAAACTGAAAATCTCAACAGAAGTAACACATCAGTCCATGGTAGGAGGCTCTCCTGAGTCCTGTTTAGAGCCTCCTGGTATTGGAACTGCACTTGCATGTAAGAGGAATTACATATCATTAAGCATATGCAAACAGAGGGTTGACAAGGGTTGGAATTGATTTGACCATACCTAACAACAAAGCATATCTATGTGTATGCAATTGTGCATATTATAAGCACATATTTTTTAATTAGATCAAAAGCCCTGCTATTAAAATATAAGTAGGTATGTGACGAAAAGTGAGCCCTGCTACCCGGGCTCCAGTTCATACGTGTACAGGTTTAATTAAAACAAAATGTATCTAATCATGTCTCTGTGGTCGGTGATGGCTGCAGACAAGTTGTCTCTCAGGAAGACCTCTGTCTTCCTTAGTCTCCCTTGGGTGACTTCAAAAAAGGATCCCATCAGAACAATGGTTCCCAAGGGACCGGTTGGGCCAGGGTAATTCAAGGGAAGGAGATGGGCTCAGAAGGTGCAGTGACTGTTGGTTTGTTTCATGACTGCACCGGGATAATCTTGGTAGTTCTCTTGAAGGACACAGGCCTTATAAGGAAATTGTAAGAAGACTGGAAAACTGTAGACGTGAAAAAAAAAGGCCCCGAAAGTTGCCAACTGAAGAGTGCAGCCTTCTTGGGGAATTGGTTTCCTTCTACCTAACAAGTGTTCGCTCCCCTCAGTGGTGTCTTGGCATGTGATGCCTAATAGATGCAAAATTCTAGACAGGCTCTGACCCATTGAAGCCCTCTCGCAATGTTTCCTGTCCCATTATTACCACAGTAGACCCTCTCTCAAGATAGAAGCTTTAAGAGAGCACTTTTATCACTTTTTTCTTCAAAAATAAGAACTCATCTCAATCCTTTTTCTTTTTACTTCCAGCATTTTCCTTGCAGCCAGCTACTCTGTTCTAGCAAATTCATTTCTTGACACTCATCTATCTTTTAAAAAAATTTTTTTTTTAGTCGAGTCTTGGCGGTGCTGTGAGTTGATTTTGAGTTCCTAACCACAGGTTATTGAAACCGCCCAGCTGCTCCCGAGAAATATGGATGCTGCCCCTGCTCCTGTCTGCTCCCCTGGAGAGTTACCAGCCCAGAAATCCTAGACAAGCCTGCTAAGAGTCAAAACTGGCTAGATGGCAGTGTTTTATTTGAGGGGGTTTTGTTTTGTTTTCACTGGAACTCTTAAACTTTAGATAACATGTTTTTTAGAAAGTTGAACATCTAATGAGTTGTTTAACTTTGCAAATTGTCAGTTCCTTATTAAATTGAGTGATTTCTTTAAAATTCGCTCCACCCTCCACCCTCCAAAGGTTTGGGAGCCTATTTGGGGTCGTTGACTTTCTAAAACATATTCTTTCCTCAGAGCTCACTCCATCGTTAACCACAATAGAACAAATAACCCTTGAAGTTGTTGTTCATGGTTGGTTTTGAACTTCTCCAAAAGAAATCCATTGTCAAACTCATCTTGGATTATTTACATCTGTGTGTGTCTCTCTGTAATTCGTTTTATATTTTGCTGGTCATTTATTTAGATAGGATCTTAAAAAGCAGAATTGGGCAGATGAGATTACCCACTGACAGCTGGGGAATTAAGAAAGATTTTTTTAATTACCTGGTGATAAAGACCGACAATGCTTTCAAACTGAATGGCAAATAGCAATCCCTCTCTTCCTTCCCCAAATAATCAGGCAGATTAAAAAAAAAAATTAGCAACCTAACAAAAAGTGAGAGAAAGAACCAAGATAGAGCTAGACAAAGGAAGATGTCTAGTCCAAAGAGGGGGGATTAAAAGAAGGTGCGAAAGGGCAAATCCCTCGTTAGCACCTTTTGACTCTTATCACAGTTTAGGAACCAAGTTAACAAAGTAAAGTCCACTACACCGATTTATTCATTAGGAGGTGGATTTTAATTTGGGGGTGGGGGGGCTTGTTTGTTTCCAAGTCAAAACAAAAGGAATCAGTTAATGATCCATTAGTAAAAACAAAAATGCTATGAGAAAAAGGACCCAAATGGAAGCTTTACAAATCCTCCTGTTATATTTGCATATAAAGTAAGGGGCAACGATAATAGGTATGCATCTCTATTCTGTGAGGCTGTCTCATGGTAGAGTCCTTGCACAGAGCTATGGTGCTTAAAGGCCACCATTGGTTTACATGTTAGGACAAACCACCATTGGTTTACACGTTAGGAGAAACCACCATTGGTTTGCATGTTAGGATAATGAATTAATATATGGATCCAAAATAAGACCACTTCTCTCGAGCCAGTAAAGGTATGTGTCATCTTCATGGAACAGCAGCTGTCTTTTCCCAGTTCCTGTTTTATAGGCCAGTTAGTGGCACGCCTCGATATGCTGCTATGCAGCTTTGACGATTGTGCAATAGGCAGGTCTCGCTCCTTCCACCAATTCCCTAAACCAACGCCTTCAAGCATCCCTGTCCTCTCTCATCCTTTTTGAGGAGCTCATTACTCATGGCTGGTATTCTTTATTTTACGAACCATTTTTTATTTAGCTAGAAGATCACCTCAAGGGATAATTTGGGTTCAAGGTTTAAAGAGAATCTTAGTGATAGACTTGGGGAGTCCTCAATTTTCAACTAATCTGTTAAGTCTCGATAGTTTAAAGATTTGAGTCCTGTTCAGCATTTTTCTCCCGCTCCATCAGGATCCATTGATTGTGACCCTGATATCAGAAGAGTTGCAGGTCTTAGCCCGGCACCAGCCAGTTCTTCCAGTCTCAGCCATGGTTCAGTAGATGCATTCATTCCCATTACATTGATTCCCATTCCTAGCGACCCGATAGCACAGGGGAGAATTGCACCTGTGGGTAACAGTGTACCTGCTTGTTCTTGGAGGGTAGCAAGACAGTTCTATAGAAATGTCTGTCACTCTACAGCCCTGACATGGCCTCTGCAGATTTCCTTTCTAAATAGTATGATTGTTACTCCATCTGTATATCATACACTTCACTAGTTTAATCATATAAAAAATAATTGTATAATCATTACCAAAATCTAGTTTAGAACATTTTCTTCTTCCTTGTGCTCATTGTTATCCATGTAATTATTTTTAATGGTGGTAAAAATATACACAGCAAAACATTGTCCAATTCAACACCTTCTACATGTTTAATTCAGTGCCATTGATGATACTCTTCGTGTTGTGCCATCAGTTCTAATGCTCCCTCCCCCCTGCAGACCTCTTTTTGTTTCCCAAACTCAGAGAACTTTGATTTGGATCCCACGAGGATGCCAAAACAGTGTTTTGATGTGGTATCTATCAAAGAGCGCAGAGCTCTTCCGGGTAGGGCTAAACCCCGCCCACTTGGAGCGGATTCCAACCTTGAGCTCTCCTGAAGGACAGTGTAGAACTGCCCTTTGTGGTTTCCGAGCCTGGACATCGCCACGGATCCTGCAGGAGCAGAAAGCCTCATTTTTCTCACCGGGCTGGGACAGCTTACCCAAGGTGACCTGCGCCAGCTGTACCCCATTGTGCCACCGAGGCTCCAGGGAGGGCTCAGAGAGACAGGAACACTGCCTTCCGAAGTGTAAACACTTGAAGGATATGTTGAGAAACAGTCGCTTCCTATTTCAATATTTTTGTTTAATAAAAATTCCTG